TAAATTGAGTGCAAAATACATACAAAACAACAAACATTTCATTCATTGAATCCACACTTTCTGGTGATAATCAACGCATACCACGGATCAGATCACCGCCTAAGACATCGCGCACACAAGTCATGGCAAACCTATCGGCAAAACTGGACTCCGTTTTGTCCATCGATGAGATCGAGAAGACAGGTATGCCTTCCCAGAGATCGCACCAATTGATCCGCCAATTGGTGGCCAATCACCGCCGCGTGAGATAATACCTACTCATGCGGTATACCCACTGAACCAGTGGTGGTGTTTGGGAACCATTCGGTGATCGCACGCGTATGTGTCGACCCTATTATGAACACCACAACTGTCTGTCCGGCGATTGGTGTCCAAACACGTGGTGATAGGCACTCATGAGGTGGTAGACCACGTGTTTAGCGGCACTACGTGTGGTGATGAGCGTATGGGTCGACACCTAATTATGACGACCACTACTAATGCCTGTATATATATCTGTGTATGCGATGGACAGGTGTGTTGGCGGCGACCTCGCAGTTGCATCAGAGGGCGCAGGAGATCCGTCACCAACGGGTCAATTGGCAGTCGTATCTCCAGTCGCAGATGATATCCCAGGAGGACTTCCAGTTCATCACGCAGTACGAGTCGGCTACCGGTGCCGACCAACGGAGTCAGCTGTTGGGACAGTACGGCGAACAGTGCGCCCATACATTCAACTCACTCCTCGGCCACATCAGCAAAGACCAGACCATTCAATACATACTGTGTCTCATCGACGACATGGTGCTCGAGGACAAGTCGAGGGTCGAGGTGTTCAAGGAGTACTCCAAGAAGAAGAAGCAGTCCGTTTGGAACACATTCCTCAACCTCTTGAATAGGAACGACACGTTCATACAGAATATGGTTAGCCATTGGGATCCGTTTCAGTGATCACTTGTGTTTTTAATTGCAATTCTTGTCGTTAAACCTCTGATACCACTCTCTCTCTCTCTCTAATCAATCACTGTCTCTCAAACATCACATTTCAATTGCCATACGTTTTCTCTCTCACAAACTGTTCGCTCAGT